TTTTTAACAATTAATATGGTACAATTATACTTATTGAGTCTTAACCTAATAACAGTATTTAAAAAACTTAAAAATATCAAATTGGTTGTTAATAATTACAAAAATTATACCCTCTAAGATTTTACGCCCGGAGATGAATCCTCGTCTTCCATCCCCCAGTTCCGCCCCTGGGTACACGATGTTAGCTCTTAAACGGATTACACCGGTGTTCTCGGCCGAATGACATTTTGACATGTTTTGCGACACCACACGGCTATAATTCGTGTTGCATACCGTAACCGATCCGCGTGTCGGCCATGTGTTGACGGTCACTCGGCGAACGAACAGTGTAATAAATAACAAATAATATAATATAATTAGAAAAAATATAAAAAGAATATATAAATAATAAATAACAGTAGTTCAGACGTATCACGATCGAGCGTTGTCACCGCACCGAGCAATATTTTAATAATTGACGTTGACGGTGCGTGGTCTCAGCGTTCGGCAGTCAGTATAGTTTCTAGTTTCAGAATAGTCCGATTTCTAGCATTTACGAATGTCTTGTTTTTTCAACCTCTCTTCGAGTTTCATCAGGATATTGTAAAATGTTGATTGAGTCGTTCTAAAATACTCATAAAACTTTGTTTCATCATCCATTAGATGAACAACGTAAAAAATACCTCTTCAATGGTTCCCTTGACTTCCATTCATTGCGTATCCACATTTTTTTCTACCTCGCATGTTGACTTTTCTATTTCTCGTCTTCTTCTAACGTAAGCGCTATAATAGCTAACTCACAGTTTTTAAAACTTTTAAACATAGTTCTCGCGTCCGCCATTGTCGAAATGCTGAAACAAATTAAAACAGCTGAAGCCAGTTGGAAAACGACATAGGCACGATCTACGGGTAAGGTACGGATATGTGTGTCCCGACCTAAAGCAGTAGTTACGACACGCGGTTTCTACCGACTCTGTACCGTTTTCTATAATTATCGTTACCATTTTTGTCGACCAAACTACACTGTCGCGAGTTTCGTTTGAAAATAACGGTGTAGGTACTTGTGTTTTCATTAATTCACAACTAAAACACCGGTCGGAACGGAGGTGGCTGGAAAGTTTTCGATGAATATTGCTGCTCCACTGAAGTTTGAACGCCGTGGGTAATCGATTTTGCCAGTTAAGTGTTTTTGTTTTCTTACCCACTCCCAGCTAAATTATTCCGAGTATAGCTTTTTCAATATAAACGTTAATTTTTCTCTTCCACAGTGTTATTTTTTAAAATTTTTTTTCTTACATCATCTCGTTTCTTATCCCTCCCCCGTCGGCGGCACGGCAACGTTATTGTGTGAGCATTCGATTATATTCTATAGGTCTTGTGCCAATTGACTTGGGAAAAATTAAATACATGGCTTCTTATATATGTATATACACACACACACCCACACGTACATATTGTACAACTAATTGTTGTATATATCGTGTGTATTATTATTCATGTTGAACGTCAAGTTTTTTTCGATACAGAAATTGGGACTTATGTACTTTATACTGTTCATCGAATCCGTTTCTCGGCCGTTTCACTGATCATATTAAACATTATGGCGGTGTACTAATTCGTAAATAACAATGTAACAAAAATTAAATCCCGTACACTAGTATCGATATATTTCAGTCTTGGCGCGACGTTTATTAAAACAACAGGTTGTGTTCATTTAAATCGCTCCCTTATTTAATGACGTCGTGCGTTTTTAACATTATTTAATCCAAAGTTCATTGCATGGTTTAAACATGTCGTACAAGTATATAAGTACTTACCGAAACACTGGTAAACATACTAGTAGTCTCGATCGTCCTCTTTCCGCGGTTTACGGACAAAAACATATACAGGTATGTACCACTCCTGAATCTTAATGATACAAACGATGACAATACGTCATTGTCAATAAAATGTAATTACAATAAAAAAAAAAAATCCTCCATTACATATTTACGATACAATCGACTATTTAGATTTTCTAAACAAAATCTTGCCAAAATGATAAAAAAAAATAAATAAAAAAAATATCAAAAATAACAAAAATAATAAAAAAAACAAACCTAACCATAAATCATGAAGATGCGACTTGATTACCAATTTCACAAAAACAATCTACCAAAAGTATCAGTTATTTTAAATGCCCTGTTAAAATCGAGCTACTTTCCTGTGGACTGGAAAAAGATGGTAAAAATAATGATTAATAAACCTTACAAACATAATTCTGATCCTAATAATTACAGGCTCATTAGATTACCGTCGTATGTATGAAAAATATTTGAAAAAGTTATCCATTCCCGACTTATTAGTCATCTAGACGTAACAGATGCAATACCTCGCTATCTATTTGATTTTAGAACAAACACCTCAACAACTTCTTCGAATTACAGGGCACATAAGCAATGAGTTCGGCAAATAATAACATACCGTAGCGGTTTTTTAGATATAGCACAAGCGTTCGGTAAGGTCTGACGGACTGATCTGCAAATTAAAATACCTAAACACCAACAGTTATCCTTAAAACTGCGGGGGTACGATGAGTAGCACCACTAACAACTTGTATTTTACCATTGTTACCAACTTATCTAATTTAATTATTTATTTGTATTTATTGAATTATTTATTTTTATTAAGAACAGGTGTTCTTTGTCAATTGTGATTTATGTAAATGTATTGTCTGTATGAAAGCTCTCCCCCACTTTCGTAACTCCAAACCGTTCGGACGACGACGGTTACGACCACCATCGCTCGACCCAGCTTGCTTCGCTCTCGTTTCCAATCCGTCGAACGAGTCTTACGTCTTGTGATTTTTGTCTTTATAATCATCCGTACGTACTTTCCGTTTATTCACCGATATTATTACTCTTTTAATTTATTTTATTATAACGCTACTGTCGAGCGCATCTATTATTCTATTTGTCTTAAGTTCGTTGTTTGTTAATATGCTATTATTATTATTATAATTATTCATTGCGTTTACTTTTCTTCATTCACACTCTTCTGTGAGTTATTTGGTAATCGTGCACATAGCACACTACCCAAAACATCATTAAATCTCTTCTCTATCCTTGCAGTTTCACCGTTCGAATACAAAAAACTGAATCGGATGTCATACAAATCAATAGAACAGTTTCAAGAATCAAAAATATCTTCATTACTTTTCAACTTATTCTTATCTCACTTGCCCACAAAAACGAAGACTGAAATATCATTATATATGAATAATAATGTTATATATTCTAGTACCGATAAACTTTAAAATATTACAGAAATATCCGAAAATAGGAGCAAAGATGGAAAATTGTCTACAATCCACGATTGGAAAATACAGCAGTTATTTTCATTATAAGTAGACCCAAAAACTATAATGTTTTATAGCTCAACGGACAAATAATAGCATGGTCTTATAACTTAAAACATCTTGGAGTAATATTGGTTATAAAATTTATCAAAGGAATCTTAACATATCTTTTAAACTGTAGCAATATATATATATATATATATATATATATATATATAGGTTGTCAACGTTTAAAAATATTACACCCACTAATTAATCGTCAAACTTCACAAATCTAGAAGTGTTCATTATTGTTATGTAAACAAATTATCCGTATTTGTTCTTTGGGGTCAATCAGCAACAACTCATATCAACAAAATACATGTTCTGCAACTCAAAGTCCTACTTATGATTTCAAATGATATATGCCTTATGGTTTATTCGAAACGCTGAACTGTACACAGACTTCAAAATGCCAACATCAAAAATTATATCAAACAACTATCGATAAGTTCTTCAGTCATTTAAAAAAGCAATCGGTCGACAACGTTTCGAGCTGAATTTTAAGCTGAGTTCAAACATTCGCACACTCCGACGCGGTCGTCCCTATGAAGTCTTAAATCAACTTATATAACTTTACTAATTATTGTAAATATAATTCATTTTGTACAACTAAATAATTGCTTTGTGTAGTATAATTCTACATTTTATTTATTTATTTATTTATTTTTTGTAATCTGTTTCAATAAAATTTAAATTTAATAAATTGTAAATTTACTATATATATATATATATATATATATATTTATGCTCACGATATCCATATTGTGTTCGCTCAAGTTAGTAATACCTCTAGTGGTAAAAGATACTTACAGAAAACGCGGAATTCTGCAATTAATTGTTACCTATGTGAGAGTTTCACTTGAAAAGGACCACACCATATTGATGATATGGTAATTTTTTTACCGATTTTTTCGCTTTTAAGTATTCACACGTCTGTGCACTTCGCCGTGCTGTATACATAAAAATAATACATAATATGCGATTAAACTCAACCAATTTTCTATTATTTCAATCGCGCCCAAACGTGTCAGGTGGACTGCGTTTCTTTTCACTACAAATTACTAAAAAATCGTTGTCGTTCTCGTGTTTATGTATATAACATTAAGGTATTATAGTGTATAAGTACGTGCTTTTATCGACGTTTATCCTGACGTAACGTGTTGGTTTTGCACGTACACACTAGTTTCTAGCGCACTCATCAAATCAATATTGGCACCCTACCCCTCTCGCAGTAGTTTTACTGCTTACCCGATAATAATTATGGATGTTGTCATAATCCGGACGACGTGATGGAACCGAATGGAACGTGATCATTCGAACACAGAATACACATATTTTCGGATTTATTGCTAACCTTCCGTGGAAATCACACAATATGTGCACAGCTCATCGCGATTACGGTGGTATTTAAATAATAATAATAATAATAATAAAACCATAGTGACTGTCTTGGTCAATGATCGTTACGCGAACAGAAGGACTTTGACGGACATGGATTTAAAATAACAATGGTGGTAGGATGTATGAAACAAAATTCGACTTAGGGTCATTGCGTGATGAATATATTGTATTGTTGTTGTTATTTTATTATTATAATGTTATTAAAATCGATAAGTATGCATAATAATATTAATATACTCACAGTAAACGTTCAGCGTTATTCTTTTACTAACAGCGGGTGGTATACCGTTGCTGGCTATGCAGAAGTAAACTCCGGTCTGTCTTCTGTCAAGCCGCCAAAGTTTCAGGTCGTTACCGGTATACGAGTTGTCTGCCAACAAGAGAGCAACAATAAAAATAACAGTAATAATGATGATAGTAATGGTAATAATAATAATAATAATAATAATAATAATAATAATAGTAATAACATTTGTTAACCACTACCATAATCATGGTACTACAGCACATATATAATATTATTCAACCACCGCCATAGGGTGTTTTCTCCTCACCGCCGACGATGACCTCTACGCGCACGGATGGTGGTGGCCTTTCCCCAGATAATCCTCGGTGCTCCTGGCGACATTTTTACGACTCTTTGGGAACATCGACCAAAGCTCCGGGGAACCATTTTCGTGGATAAAAAAAAGAGGGCGACGGAGGTCTCTCTTTTTATTTTTCTTCTTTGGTTTTGACATGTTTAAGTACACGTCGGTATTTTATAACTAGTAAGGTCGACGGTCAAAGGCGAACGGCGAAATCCGTGTGTCGAGGTAAAAACTTATCAGTTGTTCAACTATCGTAAGGACTGCGGTTCTATACACATATGCACCATAAATATATAAGAATAAGATATCTCGTCATTTGCAGTCCATTACAGCAGTGCTTCTTAACCTGGGGGCCGCGCCCCCCTAAGGGGCCATGGTATATAACTGGGGGGCCGTGAAATATTTATTTCATTTAAAATTCTTGAAACTGAATTTCATGAAAAAGAACTCACTACATTTTGGTTAAGACGACAGTAAGAGTAACCTGTAGTCTCGAAAGCGGCTTTACTTATATTAATACCTTTCGCATCAACATATCTTTGTGAAACTGCATTTTCACAATTTAAAATTATAAAAAAACAAACATAGATCATGCATTTTACAAGTCTTTAAATGCAAACTTGCGTATTTTAGTTCAAATATCCCACCTGACATAAATATGTTATGCAAAAATATGCTTTATTATTATTATTATTATTATTATTATCAACATTATATTCTTGTATTGCTTTATAGTTATTACCAAATATTTTTTATTTATATATGTTTTAAGTTTTATACAATTATAGGATTACATTTCTAAAATATATTAAAATAAAATATTATTTTCTTTACATTTTAATAATTTATTTGTGTGAAATAGTGGAAGTAAATTTAGTATATAATTATCATTAAATAATTAATTATTTTGATTCAGGGGGGCCCTGACAGTTTTACTTTAAATTTAAGGAGCCCTACAACAAAAAAGGATGAGAAGCACTGCATTGCGGAGGTTATGTCAAAGAGTATGGAGTATATTGTGTGCGAATTATCTTTATCCGTAATATTTGATGTTATAATAGATCCATTGTCAAAATAATCGTTGGTTATTTATTTAATTCGAAAAAAAATTAAAAAAAAAATTGTTTTCAAAACCTTTATACGTTCGATTGCAGTGGGTATGTATCATCATCAGAAAATACGACCATTCAGGAAAAGTTAATTCGAAGTTGGTAGACATACATTATGGAATATACTTTTGGTTATAAAATATGTAAAACGATGTGGGTATATTTACGTTCAGCAAATATGTATATAATTGAAACAAGGAGAAAGTTGGATCGCATTTATATCGATTTAAATCGAGTTATATTGTTTTCACTCTCGGTATAATTATAATACTACTATTATATCGTGATGGTTGAATATCATTATGGGAATAATAAATGTTCGTCGAACACGTAATTCGTTCATCTGTTTGTTGATATCGGTTAATAATAAATTATGGTTTTGCTGTGATGTGGTATTAACAGTGGTCACCTCGTTCTAATTAGTTTATGTAAACAATCATGAATGAAATGAAACACTGTAATCGATGTGTTTTAATTTTTTAGAATATATTGGATTAAAAAAAAAAAAAACTAGATATTTGGATACGTTTTGAAACGTATTATTATATTATAGTATGACACTACGTATATCATACTGGTTTCGAGTGAATATAATATAGCCAAATGAATATTTATAAGTTCAAAAGTAACAGTTGTTTTTCTCTTAAACGGGAGTGGTGTAAATTTTTTTTTTCATTTTCTGCATGTCGACGAGTAATAATTATTGAAGTCGAGAGTATCGTTTGTAGCGTAAAATAATAATTAATACAACAGGCGTGAAATAAATAAGTTCAAGACGGGTGAGATATTATTCATAATATTTCGCTGAGCGTATTGCTAAAATACACACATGACATAAACCGGGGGAATAATCAACTCGAGTAATACCGTTGTAAAAATTATTTAGCCAATTAGACGTTCGATTCGCAAATAAAAACAATAATTGTTTCTACGAGTTCAAAACGTCTTGTACGAGTGGAGATAACGACTTACAAATCAGAAACCTCTGCACATACATTTAACAACAATGAGAATTTATTTTTTTTGTTTATGTCTTACAGCGCGTACGCACATTAAGCATTACTTTATGTCCGTTTTTTATTTTCTACGGCGATTTAAAACGTTCCAAAACTACGATAAAAATGCGTTGAACGACTTTCTGTTTAACAGTCGAGTATTGAATCGAATCGATTCCGTTTGCAATCACGACTTTCTCACAATTCCTTCGGTTCGTATACAAAGCAACGACAACGGTAATATTATCGTGTAATGATAGTCACAACGTTAGTTCAAAAGGTACGGGGAAAACTTGCGGAGTGAAGTTTTCCGGTTAGGGTTACAATTGAACAAGTCCCGGCGAGCGACTTAAACGTACATAAAAATGTCCAAAGTTAACTTTTAAACGTGGTTTTACGGGACCTTACGTGGCGCGAAGGTGAAATTTTAATATACTCGCATGGTTGAGAGTTTTTAGAACCGTAAGACATCAGCCGGTTGTTATCTATCACGTACTTACCGTAGGTTCCTCGAGGTATGTGTGTGTGTGTGTGCGCGTACACATAAAATTACGCGAGCGGAAACCGTATACGAGTAGATTTAGAAACTTTTACAAAGGGCCGCAATAACGGTTTCGCACTGCTTCCTCTCTGCGGTCGCTCACAAAACACTCGACGGTTGTAAACTAATATCGTTCGCCTTGCACGGCGACTTTAATAGATAGACGCGCACGCGTCATTGTTAAAATCGACGTGCAAATATTTTAGCGCGCGAAACGAAAGTATCGTCGTCATCATAACCGGCTGCATTTCGTAATTGTATAAACCATAAGGCTGTGCCGCGAAAACGTTGACGGGAACTTTCCGAATTTATTTCGTCGCGTTTATTGACTTTATTACGCACGGCTCGGTGATTTGTGCGATCATTGGCGATCGGTGGGAGGGAGGGAGGGAGGAGGAGGGAATAAAAAACGAAATACGAAACCCATAACACGGTTAAGTAGTCGAAACGTATTCCGATAAGTACGTCGTAGCACACCGTTCGGGATTCGTTTGAATTTTTTTTTGATTTGTTGCGCCGCGGTAGAATAATAAAGAAAACGCAGACAGTGCGGGCGGCAACTTCTTATTTCACAACAACTATATTTCACGTAAGTTCCCCTTTTGTGCGCCGGTTAAAAACATTAGGTAAAAGTTACAAATAGCGTTTGCGATTCAAACGAATCTCCGAACCAACGGTGTGGGCGCAGAGTGAAAAGTTCAACACTACAACGATTGCGGCGTACACGTTTCTGTTGTCGTACGCGTGTTCGTTCGCTATACTTTTACTTGCTTTGTGCGCTTCGACGGTAATCGGAAAATCGCGCGTCTCGCCCACTGCAGCGGTAACAAGTGTAGTATAATCACGTTGTGCGCGAACACGTTTTGGAAGGTTTTCATATTATTTACTTCGTCCGCCCAACACCATTACCGATTATTATTAATTTGCCTCCGACCGTGGTTTTGTGGCAAACGTAACACTCGGATCGCGTTATTTTTTGCGATGAAAATACAACTCGAACCGTTCGTTGAAACACGGTCGAACATAATTATACTTTGAATAATAATTTATTAACGTTGCCGTTTTTTAAATTCGATTCGATTGGGGGAATGGCAACGGTGAAGACGGTTCGTTTCGATTTAATCAAAAACAGTCACGGATTACTACGTCGGCGAAAGGAAATCGGTGAAACAAGATTTGGCATGATAAAATAATGTAGCTGTTTCGTTTGTAATAAATATGCGTGAGCGCCTTATCGATCAGTATACGTTTTAATAAAATATCGGGGGTGGACAACGTAGTGCGGTTTCAAAAATGTTGATTTGATATATATAATTTTCGATTATTTGGGTTTTCGACACGTTCGAATTTTTTTTTTTTTTGATTAATTATATTGACTCTATGACTTTTTTTTTAATTAAAGCACATACGGTTGATTTAATAATTGATTTGATGGAATCATTTTTTATCGTAACGATTTAATAACCATCCGGATATTTATAAATGTATTCGTTTTGTGAGTATATGTATATTATTTGCTAAAAGCGAAGTACGCCCGAGACGTAATCGTTCATCTCGAGTTTCGAGTTTTGAGACTCGGCTGATATTTCCTTATTAATACTATAACAATTAAGATTTCAATTGAAATTGGCTTTGTTCTACTCTTCACCGTTGCTTTGAAACATTCCAACAGTTATGAGTTGTTTGATTTACTGTTTTTGACGAAATGTCCATCAACGGAAAGGGATTATATAATGAAACTTTTGAAGCATTCCTCTTGCTCTCTCTCGGTAAAACATCTTTGCTATACACGTCTTATATTATTTCGCCCGCTCCGTTATGCATCCTATAACAATAAACTGTATTTCCATTGCTATGAATAATTTTTAATAAAATATTATATCCACTCAGCGGTATTTATAACGTTCTCCCCTGGGTATCCCATCGACGGCGATGGTGTTATGTGCGCGTGTTTTGTACACCAGCGCATATGTTACACTAGAAGTCAGAGTTCGCACCGGGGTAGTAGAAAATGTTACATACGACTGCATCAAGAGACTTTCTAAGGATTAATGGGTTACCAGATCACGGTTAGAAGTTTCTCGAGGAACGTATAGGGGTAACCGTGACTTATTTTGTCGAATAAAACATTAAGA